CCCCTTTTTTTTTTTTTTTTTTCATTTGTGTGTACTGCAACTTAGCCATATTGTGCTCGATGACTTGAATTTTTTAAGAGAATGGGGAAGAGATGGAAAATAGAGGATGGATGACGGTTGGTTTACGGGAAGGCAACGCTTGCTATTTGCTTGTCTATCGGTTTAAGCTGTATTGTTACTAGTTTTTTTGCTCGATGGTAGTAGTTATGGTCTATCTCTATTTATTAGGTTCTATTGCCTTGCGTTTACAGGTAAGAGCTCTCAAATTCCTCAGTTTCTTCTGGACGAAGACATGGGGCCCATTCTTTGTACGCAGCCTAGGCGTTTTGCTGTAGTTGCCATTGCGAATATGGTTGCTAGAGCTCGTAACTGTAACGTGGGAGAAGAGGTTGGATATCATATAGGTCACTCGAAGCACTCATCGGAAAGGTACATAATATGACTGTTGATAATTGAATCTTCAATTTCACATTATATTTGTAAGTCGTTTTTGCTTACTGTATTTTAAATTGTATTCTTGTAAAATTTTACCAACGCTTCACGCTTCACGCATCCAGATCGAAGATTATTTTCAAAACGGCTGGGGTTTTGTTGGAAGAAATGCGAGACAGGGGGTTAAAGGCACTCGATTACAAGGTGATTGTACTTGATGAAGTGCACGAAAGATCTGCGGAGTCTGATCTTGTTCTTGTGTGCGTGAAGCAGTTTCTGTTGAAGAACCATGATCTCAGGTTAGTTCTTTCCATTACCAGTCCTTGTTAGAAATTTAACTAAATTTTTTTTTTTCTTGATTTGGCCACAAATAACACTCGGGAGCTAATATTTTTAATTTTTGTAGGGTGGTATTGATGTCAGCAACCGCTGATATTGGAAGGTATAGAGATTATTTCAAGGAACTTGGTAGAGGTGAACGTGTTGAAGTGCTTGCAATCCCTAGCTCAAGCCAGAAAACGTTCTTTGAACGTAAGGTTTCATATCTTGAAGAGGTGAGCCCTTGTTATTATTTGTGATTGATGTTGTATACTTTACTGGTTCTGTAAACCACATCATTGTGTATGTCTGCTCCGTGTTTGGTAGTTGGTTCAATGTGCTAGCAATTTTCGAATTACTTTGGTGCTGATTGTTTTGATAGTGTTATAACCATGTTCAGAAAGGAGTTTAGAACTATGTCTGCAACTTAAGAATATATGGAAAAATGTTTGTATAGGACAAGCAGTGATCTTAGAACGAAATTGTGCTGATAGAACATAAGTGATAGTCTCTGAGTTATTTTGTTTTAATTATGATTTATTTCTCCATTGACAGGTAAATGAATTACTTGGGATTGAGTCAGATTTACAATCTTCTAATGGTTTCAGCCCTTCCACATCTTCTGTGGAAATTAAGCCTGAAGTGCACAAACTGATTCACAATCTGTTGTTGCATATTCATAAGAATGAGTCTGACATTGAAAAGAGTATCTTGATTTTTCTTCCCACGTATTATTCACTGGAGCAACAGTGGCATCTTCTGAAGTCACTTAATTCTTTTAAGGTTTATATTTTACATAGCAGTATTGACATTGAGCAAGCCTTGACAGCAATGAGGATTTGGAAATCACATCGTAAGGTACATCCACCCTTTTTAAACAATATAATGACTAATCCTGAAATAAAGGTGATATAAAATCTTTAGTTTTTAATTTAGATGTAAAGCAAGTGATATGACAACTAATTTGAATGTGTTTCTGACAATGCTTGTAAGTTGATTGCTGTTTTATTCTCTATATTTGATCATTCGAGACTTCCACACTTGGTTTGGAATTTGATGTCCCCATGGTTCTTGATAAGCTCGGGCAGCCGTCTCAATTTTTTTTACACTGTTATTCAAACATCTTGCATTTAAAATTTTTCCTGCAGGTGATATTAGCAACAAATATTGCTGAGTCATCTGTCACAATACCAAAAGTAGCATATGTAATCGATTCATGCAGGTCTTTACAAGTGTTTTGGGATAATAATCAGAAAAAGGACTCCGCACAGGTTGTCTGGATTTCTAAATCTCAGGTAAATGATCCGGTATACTGTGTCAAATCTTGTTCACCTAAGTTCTACTCTTAACATCTTGGCTTTTTTTTTTTTTTGAACAATAATTTTTTAATGAGATTCTCTATTCATTATTGTACATCTATATAATTCAGAAGATAAAACATACGATTGCACCTGCAGAAACACTGAAGGACCTAACTTTTAGTGCTATACCCCTTTTGTCTCATAGAGTGTGTTTGGTTTGTGGTAAATGGTAATGAAAGGAGAGACAGGCTTCAGAACGCCTTCCTACATTCGGCATAGTACATATCCACTATTGGGCTTTGGCAGCAATATAGTTGGATTTTAGATAATATATAAATATGAATCTATATTACATTTCTGCAATTCTCATTCCTCATCATACAAATAAAACCCAAGCAACCTATTCTTAACTCTCCAATTTCCAACCTCCGTACTTCCAGCTTTCCATTCTTATTACTTTGTATTAAAATGGACCTTTAAAGAATTATACTCTCCCCTTTTCTATGTATTCATTTTTAGATTCT